GACCGCCGCTTTACTCACCATTGGGCCGCCAATATCATTGCCGCCCCCCCCTAGGCCAAACCGCTACCGAGGACCGCTGCTTACTGTCTACCGCTGACATCATCGCCATCCAGGGCCGCTGTCACCGCCGTTACTCATCAGAGGCCCGTTGTTAAAACTAGGACCGCCAATACTGCTCTCACTACGGGAGGTCGCTACCGCCCTCAGCACTATTTGGGCCACCGTCAACATCACCGCAGGGCCGTCACTACTAAAGGGACTGCTACTGCCATCACGATCAGCATCGTCGCTCTCATTGGCTGCAATACCCGTGCTGTGGGCGTTTACCCTCATCACGCTCGCTACCGCTCTCACTGTCATTAATCACCGAACCATCACCGCTCTCACCGTCACCGCTCGCAACATCACCGCCACCGTCACTAGCCACTAGACAGTCTCCGCTCTCTGAGCCACGACACCGACCGCCGACCAGTTAGTCTCTCTCTCTCTCCCCTCTCTTCGTGGACGTCAGGGTACCGGCAGCCTGGCCGAACGGCCGCGTGTGTGTGTGGTTGTGTTCGCTATATTTAACTACTGTGTTTATTTTATTCAGTGGGGGTTAGTGGGACCTCCACTCAACCCTGGAGCGGCTGAGTTACCTCAGCCTTCGATAAAACCCACCTCATAAGTTCCTGAAAAAGAAAAAAAGTTCTGCAAAATTACGCCGAAAAAACACGTTTTTCCAAAAAGTCGAGAAAATATTATTAAAAAAAAAAAATTTAATTAAATCTGAGAAGCTACTGAGCAACTGTCCCAGTTTCCAACAATATGCAACTTGCTTGATTTGCGAAGTAAAAAATACAATGATAGAACCAACCCTGAAAATTAATATGAAAATAATTTTCAAACGCAGTTTTCAGCATCTCCAAGAAGCAATGGATGATTTCGATGATGTGGCGTGACTTCAACTGTCGAACGATTTTACGGAATCCATTTATTCGTTGACACAGATGATTTCACAAATGACGATTATTTATATCAATCTCAACAAAATGACTCGAATACCATGTCAGTTTCGAGACATATCAATGAAACTGATAGTGGAAAGGGAGATATATGGATTGAAAGGCCTTGTACACTACTTTCGCCCAGGGCTACAGGACATCGGTCAACAGTTCGCCGTTCTCGTTCTATGTACATCAATTCGCACCGGTTTCAAAACCGAAGATGGGTCGCCTAATTTTTCCGAGCTTTCTCGAAATGATCTTTGGCTTGGCCATCCTTATTTTCCGTCGAAGCGGGAGCGTAAATGAGAGAGAATTTCGGTTTATTGCGGATTGCGGCGAGACGCTCTTTTAAATGGGCTGCTCACATTTGGGTCCAGTCTAAGGTTTTTGAAATTTGAAATCAAACCATAGCAGTTCCTTCATCCAATTTTTTTTATTAATAATAATTAATCGAGACTTTTCATCCACTTTTTGATATCTCATTGACTTATGCACATCTCTGATATGTTTGAAAAATATTTATGAATCTGATAACAAAACATATGCACATATACATATATGCTTGTAAGTAAATATGTGTGTATTTTCGTTGAGAATCACTTGTATTTAATTTGCCAAGCAATTGTAACAGTACAGTTTTGATTAGCTCTATTATAATAATAAAACACGTGGGCCTGTTCTTGCATATACTTACACACATACATATGTACATACATATGTTATGAAAGTGCAAAATTATGAAAGTCATTTTATAAATATTGAATATTGATTGATGAATACAGTACATGCAACGGTTAAAAAAAAAACATACAATAAGGGGGCATTGGTGTCGTTTTCTACAATTCTTGTAATTTACCTTTTTTTAATTATTAAATAAGTAAAGTTAAGTCTTTTTTCGTAGGCGAGTTTGTTGGTGGCGGTGCTTAATAGTAACTTGTACGTTGCAAATAGCGCATTTTGCGTCAGAATTTTTTCGTCCTATTTGCTTTTATTTTTATATGAAAGAAGACCGTAACATCTTCGACAAAAAAAAAAAAAATCTAAAAAATCAGCGGTGATTTTTAGTCGTTTGAAACGGGTACTTTATTCTAATAGAATTCAATGGGCTACAAAACTGCGTACTGAAAATCTTTCTAAGTAGTTTAATTAAAAAGTTTTAAATTTTTACGAAACAATTTCGATTTTTATTTTAATATTGCACAAAGTTTGCATTTTGGATTTACACGTTAATTGTTGTTAAAGAATGGTTTATAAACAAAAATAAACAAAATTCAAGAACAAAAAAAAATATGTATGTTGAAACTTGTCAATAACTGGTGCGGCTGTAATTTTTTCGACCACTGTATTTGGGAGCCCCATTCTCCCTTCGTGGCCTAGTGGAAGGTCGGGCCAGAGGTCCTTACCTATTTTCCTTTTTTGTATGTCCGAGCACCTTTTGCTTGTCAGTTTACGAAATGCAAGCTAATTTGCCCTTTCAGTGACGAGGGGACAACGCAGCGCAACAGCCCCGCAACTAAAACCCAAAAGTTGATTTTCCTAAGCATTTTTGGCCACCCTAATTATTCATACATATGTACGTATGTACGCATTTCCCTTCAACTAAGTAATTTTCTTTTTACCCCCTTGCACTTTCTCATTTGCTTAATTTACGTTGATTGTGAATGATGATCGGTTGCATCTGCTTCACTTAAGAAATTGATTCTTTATGGTTATTGGTGTCGCTTTCATTGCAATTGCCAATTACCACCTCCTCTGCGGCAGCTCGGTCGGTAAGATCCCCAAGTTCTGATACACTGCAACATCATAGATATGTATGTACATAAGTCAGCGCGAGCTAATTGATGTTGTGTGTTTGTGCCCATTTAATGTTTATATTTTTATATCTTTTGTAAACATTGTTGTAATCAGTACTTAACTTTGCTCTTTTAACAATCGAGCAAAATGGTAAGTGGTGGTGGGTGGCAAAACTGAACCATGAACTTGTCCGTCTGCGATAAGTGAACGTTTTTAATCTTCTTGAAATGAAAGTACCCATTAGTATTTGAACTTAAGCTAATAAAAAAGTATTGGCATTTGTATGGATATGTATGTAGTTATGTGCAAAATTAAATGACTATCAATAAAAACGTCCTAATGAAAATTTACCATTTAGATTACCAGTGCATTTAAATTCCTAAGAGCCAATTTCCGATCAAAAACTAAATGGCATTTAAATGAATTATGCATTTTTATTCATGCCTTTTCTATATTTACTAATATAGTCGATATTGCGCATTAAAATACAGTTTAAATATTTGATCAGAAAATGAATATTTTTTAGTGATCAATCGGCACTTAGTTGCTCATTTGAACTTGGCACTAATAGGAGTACGCAGTGTGATTAAGAAAAATAAACGAAAGTCAACGACTTATAAAAACAACTATTTTTATTTTTGGATGGGGAGTGTTCGGTTTGTGACGCCCTCGTAGAAATGGAACTTCGGATTAGTCGTCAGTTACAGATCGGCTAAAAATGGCAGTCGGATATGGAAATGTCCAGTGAAAATGGTGGGTGGGGTTGGTAATTTTTTTAACGATTTAATTTGAGCTGCAATTAACGGCTAAAACACAGCAATTGCTGTTGGCAATGTTCCCAAGTGGTAGCTTCGTTAGGCTGCAGTAACTTATAGTAGTTCACCACGAGCTGATCCCACTGAGAGAGATTTTAGTCTCTACGCGTCCACATAAAAACTTAAGAAAGCTTTATAAAGCTTCTCCGCGGCATATGCTTTGACCATACTTGCAGTAGATGTCCAAGCAAAAGCTCATTGCCATGAATATTCAGTTTGGCCGTTGAAGTTGGTGCATTGAGGTGCTTACCTCATGACTCCGATTGAACCGCAGCCCTCCTTGCGATAGGTTCTTACAAGGGAGAGAAATTGTTCAGAAAGGAAAATACTAAACTGAGGGAACTGCAATGTCCTGTTGAGTTAGTCACACAATTTTAGCGAGCTTCTCTTGAGTTTAGCAGGCATATTGGTACGAAAACGCTTCCCACTCCGCATTGGTTTAAGATCGCCAAAGCCATTAATTTTGTTAAGTTATAATAGGTTCGGTTAGGTTAGATCGGTGGTCACGGAGGTATACTATCTACAAATCTATCTCTACATTTCCCTAGATCCTTCCGATAGTTTTGCAAATTCAGATAGTCTCCCCAAAGAAACAGTAGCTCTAAGCTGGTCATGCCCTAGAAGAAATGATTTCCCGGAAATCTGAATGGTATTCTCCGTAGTGCGGAGCATTTGCTGTGCTAAATGTTAACTAATTTTCTTTGTATTCACAGCTTGTATAGAAATAGTTATATGGGGGCCCGAACCTTGCGGTCGATTGGGCAACAGGGCAATATTCTGTTCGTATTCCCGACAGAAGGTTTATGTAACATTTGGATAGTCTCAGCAAGCTTTGTCATTCGTTCCAGCAAATATTGGCTGGCCATTCGATGATTTCTTCGCTCATCGCTGGCGGAGTTTCGATATAACTTTCACGGTACTGTGACATATGTAAGTTCCAAACTGACATTATTGGTGGTGTTTATGCTGGATCATAGGTAGACCAAGTCTTTCACTGCTTCAAAGTTATAGATAACGTGCCAGGAGGAACTTTGCCTTGTCCTCGTTCACGGGTAGACCAACCTCTTTAGCTTCTTTTTCTAAGCTGCAAAATGCCGCGCTGACATCCCTGGGTGTCAGACCAACGATGTCAATATCATCCGCATACGCCAGAAGCAGAGTTCTTATGCTATATATGGTGCCGCTGCGATTCAGATTAGCAGCTCTTATGACGGTTTCCGGCATCAGATTGAAAAAAAGGCTCGAGAGTGAATCGCCTTGTCTAAAGCCTCACGTTCTTCATTGCACAGAGGTGCATGCGAATCTTGGCTGAAACAAAATG